AGCCAGAGTTGCGCAAGATCATTCCAAAGCTAGTCAAGACCATGCAAAAGCCGCTCTTGCTAATGAGCGGAATTTAGCAGAAATGGTGGACCAAATCTCTCGAAGGTTCGAGTCCATGTTGGAACGGACCCTTGAAAGCTTAAACCAAGGTTTGGCCCCTCGGCTAAACAACTCTGAAGGGTCTCAACAGTCGGCCTTCCAAGCTAGTAGGCCGAACACATTTATTGAAGGGAGTTCCTCTCAGCAATATGCATGTCCACTCCTTCCAACTCAGCAGCAGGTGCAGTCCCTTCCAATGGCACAGACTTATATTCTAGCTGTACCTGTGACTGCTCCAATGGCACAGATGATTGTTCCACAAGCTGCGCCCATGCCAACCACTCAGCAAGTTCAGAATCCTCCACCTGTGGCATTTCCATAGCAGACTTGGCATGATCAGCCTAGCCAAACCTGGCCATACCACAATCCTTAAGCACAACAGAATATTCCATTTGAACATTTAGCCAGCCGCACCTACTCCAGTAAGGCCACCACCTATGGTTATTCCAATGGCGGTTGGGGGGCAACCTTTTCCAAGGGAGCCACTTCTTGACCAAGGAGGAAGGAACCGTGGCAGGAACAACTATGCAGATGCTAACCCCTTGCTAATGGCGGGTGGGGGGCATCAAGTGGCCAATCAACCTCAAGGTTGGCCAGACAACAACCCTCCACTACCTATGGTACTTGACAGAGGCCAATTTGCAGAATTCCTTCAACAGGAATTTGGCTTAACTCGAAGGGGTGGAAGGACAACTTACAGAAAGCCCTATCTAGAGTTCATTGATGAAGTTGAATTTCTAAGGAATTTCAGAATTCCAAAGTTTGTAACGTTCAATGGAGAGGGCGAACAGTCTACCTTGGAACATATCAGTCGGTTCACTGTCCAATGTGGAGAAGCAGCAGCCAATCCATGGCTGAAAGTACACTTATTTCCAAACGCACTGACGGGATATGCTTTCAGATGGTATTCCAACTTACTAGCCAACTCCATTCAAAGTGGGCAGCAATTTGGGGATATATTCCATACTCAGTTCTATAGAGCTGAGCTTGAAGTGTCCATGGCAGACCTTTCCAGACTTCATCAACTGCCTGGAGAGTCTGTGATGAGTTTACTTTCCAGATTCAGGCGGGCCAAGTTCAAATGTAATTTATCTTTGCTACCGGAAGAATATGTGAAGATGGTTGTGAACGGCCTAGAATTTGAACTTCGCAAGAAGTTTGAAGGTGTACAGTTCCATGACTTATTCGATTTGGCTGGCAAAGTGGCTAAGTATGAAGAGCTCCTTCATGAGGAGCAAGATAGGAAGAACTCTTTCAAGGGCACCTACTATCGTGATCCTAACTATGAGGTGTATACCACTGAAATTGAAGGGGAGTTTGAAGTCAACGTAGCCGAGCTCAACATAAAGAAGGCTTACACTTGTGAGGCCTTGACAAAGCCAAAATCAGCCACGGCCAACTTGCAGGCTGCCTCTGGTTCCAAGTGGAAGGGGGCAGACTCTTCCAGAAGTTACTCTTTTGACATTTCTAAAGCCGAGCAAATCTTTGATTTGCTCATGGCTGACAAGCAACTGGTTTTCACAGCGGGCCATAAGATGCCGTCGGCTTCAGAAATGGCCGAGAAGGAGTATTGCAAGTTCCACAATTTGTGGAAGCATTGTGTTATTTTCTGCAACATTGTGCAAAAGGCAATTGAAGATGGCCGTTTGAAGTTTCCAGAAAAATCAGAAGTCATGGGTGTTGATGGAAATCCTTTCCCCAAGGTTGTTGCAACAAACGTTGCTTCCATGGTTCCGGAGCATTCCAAAAAGGAGGTGGACTTGTTAAATCCGGTGACCATTGGAAAGTTGGAAATTTCAAAGGCGGCAACATCTATGGAGAAGACAGTAGCTGAGTTGGAGAGGCAACTCCGAGAGACCCAGATTGCGTTAATCCAACAAGATTGTTGCCCCAAGTGTAAAGTTCAGAATGAAGGTTGCCGTAAAGATTTTCCAAAAGAGAAGCAGAATGAAAAGCCCTCCAATAGTGACCAGGGTCAAAAAAAGAAAGTCCATGACCAGCTAACTTTCCAAAAGGTGGAAAACACAGTTACTGTAACCATTCCAGAGAAGGAAAGCCAGGTTCATCCAGAAAGAAAGGCAGCAGAAAGGAAATCTGAGATACTTCTAAAGAATTTGGAAAAGAGTAAAGTTTCCTATCAGCCAGGTTCTCGTCCTCATAGCAGAAAGTTTGAAAGTAGTAGATGGCAAGACAGAGGTTCTAAAGGTGACATGCATTCCAAGCCAAAATTAACCTCGGAAGTTTGGGTTAGAAGGGGGAGTGAGCATCTCCGACTAAAAATGGTTAGACCTCCTACCTATCAAGATGAGGGATGGAGAAGGCTTGATCATCCCAAGTTTCCCACTCATGATGATTCCTATATGACCCGCACACAAAAACGAAGGCAACAAAGGAAGAGGGCTGATAAAAGAAGGTTATGGGAGAAAGACCATGGCTGGTCCAGTTGGCTAAAGAAGACTACTAGGTCGTCAGATTTATCAGAGCTTCCAGCTATAGGAAAGGAGTGAGATCCTAATGATTTGTTAGATCTTGATTTAGAGGTTGGAAATTCCTTGACTACAGACAATCCTCCGACGAAAGATAAAACAGATTTGGAAATTCCCAGCAATGCCAGTAGCAGCAAGAAAATCTATTTTGGGAGCCTTCCAGGTGAATTTACTCACAATATGGTAGTGGTTCTTCCTTTATTTTTTGAGCCACAACCAGATCAGCCCAATTCAATGGAAGGAGATGTAATAGTTACAAGTCCACCCATGGAAAGTCTTGGATAGTCTAACTCTGGGCCATTTATAATGGAACCAGACAAAGGTATCCATATAGAAGAGGTTTTTGAAGATGAAACTGAGCATCTGCAGAAATTAAAGGGGGTCGTGATTGAAGAGAATAGCCCCACGAGGCCAAAGAAAATTATGTTGGAAAAGCCACCATATGGCATGACTCAGTAGCTCAAACCTTTGTACATCAAGGTGCTAGTGGAAGGAAGGCCTTTGGCAAGAATTCTGGTAGACAATGGTTCGGTGTTGAATGTTGTTCCAGTCAATGTTATCCACATGCTCAGAAAGTCTCCTGAAGATATCATTCCAACTGATGTGTCCATTAGTGGATTCACGGGAGGAATAGTGAAGACGCAAGGAATCCTATCGTTGGAGTTAATAGTGGGAGATAGAACTTCTATCACAGCTTTCTTTGTTATTGAGTCCACAGTGGCTTATAATTTGCTCTTAGGCCGCGAATGGATTCACCTAAATTTTTGCATTCCATCTTCGCTCCATTAAATGCTAATATTTTGGGATGGAGATGAGGTAAAAGTGGTGGAAGCTGATAGCTGGCCATTTGTGACAAGGGTTTACCATGCAGATGCTGAGTTGTATAGCGAATAATTCGTTCCAATCAGATTTATTGGAAAGGATAGTAAGGGCCGTCCAAGGAAGGCCAGCATGAGAATGACTCTTATGGAAGAAGATGTAAGGGAGCTTTTCCAAGAACCGAAGAAGATGTAAGGGAGCTTTTCCAAGAAACACCAAGGCCAACAATTCTACCCAAGGTCAGTGTTCAGCAATACATTTCAAACAAAAGTTTTTATGGAAGAGAAACCTAAAGAAAATAGAATACTTGGCGAAGCGGTTAACTGCTGCCTTGCCAGGTTGAAAGCATATCTAGCCGAACTACGGTTAGAAAGAGCTGTTGTTGTTGGTACTTCATTTTCAACCAATGTTTTGGAGATTATGGAAGATGCTGAAGACAAGTTGGATGCTATCCAACTGACAAACTTAAAGGCAGCACCAGTGAAGTTGGATGATCTTAAGGCCGAAGTGTAAGATCCTTTGTTGGAAATCAATCTTGGAATGGAGCAAGACCCTCGGCCTACCTACATTAGTAAGCTTTTGGAACCAATCTTTAGAGATGAATTGATTTCTTTACTTGAAGAAAATAAAGATTGCTTTGCATGGACATATGAGGAAATGCCAGGACTTTCCAGAGAGCTGGTAGAGCATAAGTTGCCAATTAAGGAAGGTTTCAAGCCTTTCAAGTAGCCTCCAAGAAAGATGTCCCAAGAAGTTGTTCTAAAGGTCAAAGAAGAGATAGAAAGGCTACATAAGGCTAGTTTTATAAGAACCGCCAGGTATGTTGACTGGATTTCCAATATAGTTCCAGTTATTAAGAAAAATGGCAAGCTAAGGGTATTTATGGATTTCCGAAATATCAATCTTGCAACTCCAAAAGATGAGTATCCCATGCCTATTGCTGACTAGTTAGTAGATTTTGCTGGCAAGAATGAAATTCTTTTATTCATGGATGGACATTCCGGGTACGACCAGATTTACATTGCAGAGGAAGATATTGCCAAGACAGTCTTCAGATGTCCAGGTTCCATTGGAACCTTTGAATGGGTTGTCATGCCATTTGGGTTGAAGAATGCAGGAGCAACATATCAAAGAGCCATGAATGCTATATTCCATGACATGATTGGCCATTTCTTGGAAGTCCACATTGATGATGTGGTCATCAAGTCCTCGGCTAAAGATCAACATCTCCACAATTTGAAAATGACTTTTGAAAGGATGAGGCAGCACAAGTTGAAGATGAATCCTTTGAAGTGTGCTTTTGGGGTTTCAGCTGGAAATTTCCTAGGTTTCCTGGTCCACCAAAGTGGTATTGAGATAGATCAAAATAAAGCAAAAGCAATTATTAAAGCAAAGCCACCAGCCACTAAGAAGGAGTTGCAACGATTCCTCGGTCAGGTTGGATATTTAAGGAGGTTCGTTGCCAACCATGCTGGAAAGACTCATGCTTTCTCCCCTTTACTGAAATTGAAAGGTGCTGAGGAATTCAAGTGGACAGAATAGCACCAGCAAGCCTTTGAAGGTTTGAAAAGCTACCTGGCCAACCCTCCAGTGTTGATGCCTCTAATCAAGAAGTGGTCTTTAAGATTATACTTATCGGCCGCCGATGAGTCCATTGGAACTCTATTAGCTCATAATAATGAATGGAAGAAAGAGCAAGCCATCTATTATTTAAGTAGGGTGCTCACTCCAATGGAATGTAGGTATACTTCCATTGAAAAGTTGTGTCTTTCCTTATACTATGCGGCTATGAAGTTGAGAACCTATATGTTGCCAGTGGCCGTGTATATAATCTCTCAAACAGATTTGATTAAGTATATGCTTTCCAAGCCTTTGATCACTGGACGTATTAGAAAGTGGTCATTGGCCTTAATGGAGTTTACCTTCAAGTATATTCCACAAAAGGCAGTCAAAGGAAGGGCGGTAGCAGAATTTCTAGCAGATCATCCATCTACTAAGATAGATTCAAAAATATGTGATGAGGTGGATAATCTTTACCTTGACTATACACCTTGGACTCTTATGTTTGATGGATCAAGCACTCATGATGGAGGTGGAGCTGGAATAGTCATCATTTCTCCGAAAGGAAGGAAAACCAAATTTTCTTTCTTCTTGGATTTCAAGTGTACAAACAACCAAGCTGAGTATGAGGCATTAATTATTGGGCTGGAGATTCTGCTAGAGCTAAAGATGGAGAAGGTCCAGATTATTGGAGATTCCAACTTGATACTTAGCCAATTATCTGAAGAATATAGATGTCTTAACTGGCATTTGAGGCCTTTCCACTCTTTGGCCTTAGAGTTACTTTGCCAGTTTGATGATTTCTAACTCAAATATTGGCTTAGATATTTAAATACGGAGGCTAATGATCTAGCATAATTAGCCTCTCGAGTGAAAGTCCCACTGGGTGTGGAAGAAGCTCTAATCACAGTTAGAAGAAGAGCTCTTCCTTCGGTAGAGTTACGGTATGAGATGGCAAGTCCTTTCCAATCTAAAGAGCCAGAAAAATTCAAACTTGCCAATAAGCCATGGGAGATTTTCAATATTGATATCGATGGATTTGATTTGGATGATTGGAGAACACCAATTATCCAATTCTTGCAAGAACTAGCTCCAAGGTGGACAAGAGAATTCAGCTTTTGGCACCACATTACATTTTGATTGATAGGGACCTCTACAAGAAGAGTAAAGAAGATGGACTTTTGTTAAGATGCCTCGGGAAGGATGAATCCATGAGGGTAATGGCAGAATCACACCTTGGAATATGCGGAGTGCATCAAGCTAGAATCGAGATGAGGTGGCTCCTTAGAAGGTATGGTTATTATTGGAAAGGCATATTGAAAGATTGCATAGAGTTTGCCAAGACTTGTACTGCATGTCAAGAACATGGCCCAATCCAAAGAGTTCCAGCTATTAACATGCAGCCGATAGTAAAAATATGGCCATTTAAAGGGTGGGCTTTGGACTTTATTGGAAAGCTAAGGCCTCCATCTTCAGATGGCCATACTCACATAGTGGTGGCCACAGATTATTTCACAAAGTGGGTGGAAGCCATTCCACTAAAGACTTGTGAGCAGTCAATAGTGATTGATTTTCTTAAGAAGCACATTATACATAGGTTTGGAATTCTAGAGACTATCACCACTGATAGTGGTCTATCCTTTGTTGGAAGCAAGGTCTTGGATTATTGTGCTGAGTGTGGTGTATAAGTGATCAGTTCCACTCCATATTTTGCCCAAGCAAATGGACAGGCGGAAGCTTCCAACAAAGTAATCCTCAACATCCTTGAAAAGATGATTGAGGATCATCCAAGGGAGTGGTATCACTACTTTCTGAAGCTCTTTGGGCCTACAGAAATTCAAAAAGGTTAAGTACAGGCGTCACACCATATGTGCTTACATATGGACATGATGCTGTCCTTCCAATGGAGATGACAATCAGGTTTGCAAGGGTGGCTTTCCAAAATAGACTAACTCTAGTAGATTACAACCATGCCATGTTAGCGAAATTAGAAGACCTTGATGAAGTTTGTCTCAATGCTCTAGATCATATTATTTTTCAAAAGAAGAAAGTTATGTGGGCATACAACAAGAAGGTGAAGGCGAAGACATTTATAGAAGGAGACATGGTATGGCAGGTCAAATTTCCACCTAGAGTTAAAAGTTTGGAGTATGGAAAATGGACTCCTGATTGGGAAGGTCCTTATTTGGTAGAACGAGTCCTTAGAAAAGGGGCTTATAGATTGATGGATATAGATGGAAGGTCTCATAAGCATCCTGTGAATAGTGCATACTTAAAAGAGTACCACCCTTCCATCTATGAAAATTGGAAATCCACAATCATTCAACCGGCCATGTAGAATAGCTGGTATCTTCCTTTCCAAGTAAACCGAAAAGTTAGAAAGGAAGCGTAATGGCCATTCGGCCATTCCAAGAAGGTAAAGCTAAGTACTTGGAAAAGTACATTGGATAGAGTTATGAAGCGGACTTAGCTGAATTTCTAAGATCAGTTGATTTCCAAAGTATGGAAGACTTCATTGAGGAACTGGCTACGCTACGTGTTCTAGGTTTTAATCATACTGGAAATTGTTCATCTTGCTTGTATATACAGGCATTTCCATTATGACAATTTCTTTTATTTCTTTGAATTTCCTTTGTTATGGACAGCCAATTATATAGCTATGCCTTATTGTAAATATATGTGAAGAAGTTTTCTAGTTTCAGTGACTTAGAAGTTTCTTTTCCATATAAATTGTGAAAGAGGCACATGCAAAGGGTTGGGAAATAGAGCGTTATCTCATTAGATACTGGATTTCATTACAAAACTCAACAATGGCCTCCTAAACCTAGGATTGGCCATTCAAAAGTACCCATTACTTATTTCCTATCCACAAGTTTTCCAAAAACAACCACATAATAGAACCATAAAGAGAAACACATGAGATCAGATAGAGGCAAAAACACCTCCAAGTTCATTCCAAATTTTCCTTGCTTCTTTAAGAACAGCCACTGCTCTAACCTTTGCATCCTCAAATTTAGGAAAGGCTTCAACTCACTTTTCCCATTCTTTCCTTAAAGGTTCGGACGCATTAACAAAGGCATTAGCTGTTTAGTCCAATTTAAGTTCTTCACGTTCCACTTATTCCAACTCCCTTTGAACTTTGGCCAGTTCTTCATTCAGTTTTTCTTTCTTGATCATAAGCTTTTTAGTTCGATCCTTGATTTCTGGGTAGGATTCTAAGGAGAGTTGAAAATCCTCAAGAGCTTTATCTCTGAGCTTGGCCTCCTTTTTATACTCAGAAACTATAGAAGTACTGGAGCTCACATAGGCAACAATGAATTGGAGTTGGTGTTGCAGCTTGGTCAAAGAAGCCTGGATGGAATCAGGAAATTCCGGATGTTTTTTGAGGGTCACAATAGTACTGGCTAGACTTGAGTGGAAAGAGACTACATCTTCCACATCGTGGGCAAGATAAGACATCAACTTTTCTTTAGCCACCATGATAGCATTATTTGACGGTCCTGGAAGTGTGAGGACACTTGCACTTGAAGTAGAAGTAATGGAAGATTTAGTAGCCTTGATCACTTTGTAAAGATCAGCTAAGGTTGGAAGGGCTCTCCTCTGCACCATAAAGGAGGTTGAGGTAGATAAGGAAGGAGTTGCCTGAAATGCAAACAAGTTTTTATTAGATAGAAAGAAAGAAAGGAGGCGAAGTGTAAAGGAATGAAGACTTGCCTTTGGGATGGAAGGAGTATGACCAGTAGAAGTTCCACCAGTTTCGAAAGGAATGGATACTCCAATAGTGGAAGTTGGAATGGGCTGACTTTTCTCATTCTTTATGGTTAAACTTTCCATAATTGAAGCTTGAAGGGCCAAATCCTCTCCTTATGCAACTTGTTAATCCAGGTGGATATTCATGAAATTGTGTCCCATAGTAGAGCCCTATTGGTCAAGTTGAAGTTACAAACATTTTAAAATATAAAGTAATGAGATAGAGAAGGATAGGGATTGGGACAAGATGACATTTTCTGGAAAAACTCAAATAAAAACGCCCCTCAAAATCGAGTTTTCTACGTGACTTGCAAGAAAAATGGAAAAATACGCAATGTGAAATGCCCAAAATGCCCTCCCAAGAAAACTGGTCCAGAGGGTCCAAAAAGCTGCTAAATTTAAAAACTGAGAGCTGAACTTCGGATGCGATTTCTGATGCGAAGTTGGCATATTCTGGAAAAACACAAAAAAGAAAACCCCCCTAAAATCAAATTTTCTGTTCAACCATGTGAAGAATAGAATTTATTTCCCAAAGAAAATTCCCAAAATACCCTTAGGTCAGAATATGCAACAAAACTGAAAAATGAGTCCGTGGGAGGCTCATTTCACCAAAGAAGAAGCTTTGCCCGGAAACAACCATGCACGCAAATGTAACCTACCTAGTAAGATGTTCTACAATGGTCTATGGCCTAAAAATATGGCCGATACAAAATATGACCCCCCAATGGCCAAAATGCCAAAAATGAAGTTTGGAACGAAAACTTGGAATTCAAAACTATGAAATGGTTTCAAAATACCATTTGGCCCTTGGCCACACTTCATACATAATTAATGAGACCCTATGGAAGAATCAAAATGGAATTCCCACACCCAATGCAAACATGGTGAAGCAAAAACTCAATATTTTTCAATACTTTCATAATACTCCATGAAGTCAAAAATTACATAGGATTCAAATTACATGTCATTGGCCTCTGGCCTTATCTCATACATGTCAAATACATCGTAAAGAGTGTACTCATGTACACATTACATATAAGGAATCAAATGTACACATGTTGACATATAAGGCTACAATTGGCATTCCATGCCAACCTTCACAAAAATGGAAGTCTTCAAGTCCACAAGTCATCCAAGCATAATGAAGACCTCAAATTTGATTCTTGTACTTGAAATATGCCCCAATATCGTAGGGGTGAGTAACATAAAGCTACTCGTAGGAAATGAGCATGCATCGACCTACGTTTTACAAGTTTGCAAGATTTAATCACTGTGGTTCATTCTACCTAACGTCTATGTCAAAGGTGAGACTCAAGGAGCATCCTAGCTACCTAAGATCATTTCTAGCATCAATCACCTCATTTATGCAATTTTATTAACATAGGTTCATGCTTACACAAAGCAGCAACATAGGAGCATGCTTACACAAAGCAACAACATAGGAGCATGCTTACATAAGCAACAACATATAGATTCTCAAGGTTATCAACTTGAAGTCTAAAATGCAACATCAACTAAATATAACAATTTAGCATAATTAGAATATCTAATACCACACATCAAGACATAGATTCTATAGGTTATCAACTAGAAATCTAAAAGTGTGAAATCAACTAAATATATCAACGTAGTATGGATGTGCTTAACAACATCAAATTGCCAATAGCCAAAACCACAAGTCAACAAGGTAAACATGATTCTCAACTTGGAATTGAATGCGAAAACAAATAGTGGAAGACTTGGACATCACGCTCGGAATTCTGCCGAGACCTCAATGATTATTCTGGGCACTAACTCGTAGGGAAGACCACCCTAAGTACACACTATCTCAATGACTTAGAGGACTCACGTCCCGTACTAGAGCCAAACCCTAGCCATCTCAACTCAACAATGTTCCAAGATTCCAAAATAAGCCAAATAAGTTCATAACTTATACATATAACTACTACATAGTAACAAGTTAGCAATATAACTCTCAATTGTGCATAATAAGCATTTCATATCCGTAATGCTACAAAATCACAAGCCAACAATATATTCATATTAGAAACATACTC